CCGTGGAACGTCTGCCCGTGGCAGAAGACACTCACCTCCCCGCCGTTGGCGTATTCCATGACGAAGCAGAGGCGGTCGTTTGTCTGGAACGCATATTTCAGGGCCTGAAAATGTCAAGCTACAGTCGGTGTGGAGTGCGCGCAGCCACCAAGCCTCTCCCACTCAAGATCGTCCGGGGTCCAAAAGACCCTTGGGCTGGGGGCTGCTCCCTGTTCAGGTTCACTTTTGCCAGCTGGCCGGCCGGTCCGACAGCATGGAAGAGGAGGAGGGGCGGGGGGCCGGGGGCCACTCTGGCCGCTTCTTTGCACAGCAGGAGGAGGAGACGGAAGGCAAGAAACGACTCCCCTACACTCCCCCTCCCAGCTTGCTGGCCCTTTGGTCAAGATGAGTGCCAACTTATGCCGTGTTGGCCCGCAGGGTAATCGAGCAATCACCCTTTATTGGGGGTCCTGACTAAAAACCCTACCCCACAAAGGCTTACTTCTCCCCCTTCCCTCCCAACTCCTCAGAAGCCACTCCCTAGACAGACCCAAGGTCTCGTTCAAGTTCCTGGCCCAAGTAGCCCCCCCCCCTTCCCGGCCACAGCAAGCCTTGCCTGCAAGGGGAGGGCTCCGTTGTACATACCGTGAGGAAAGGATGCCTGGTGTTCTGCAGGACCCGGCTCTCTGTCACCGTGTGGGCCACCTCGTCCTTCCGAAACAAAGAAGAGCATGGGCCCCCGAACTGTGCATGTTTCAATCGACAGCCTTGCACCTACACCTCTCTCTATCCATAGGGGGGATCTGGCATCGGGAGCCTGTCCGCCCGCCCCTGGTTAAACGGCTACTTTATCAGATGAAGGAAATCAGCATGCATGAACTCCCCCCCCCCTTGCAAGTCTCAATGACACTTCCACCTCAAATCAGGGCTCCCACATAGCAGGGAAACTGGGACGTAGCAGGAGAGATTATTATTTGGGCCATCGTGGGCTGAAAGAGCACACTTCTCTGCCACTAAGCAGAGCCAGAGGAGGACCCATGGGCGGTGGAGAAGGGACCTCCTCTCTCTCTGACAGCCATTCAGCAAAGAGTTGGGTCCTTCAGAGAAGGCCCCTGGGTTGCAAGGGCACCCTGGGGAACAGGACCAGTGTAGAGGGAGAAGAGGACTCTGAGCACTCTTCCATGAGTGTGTGGACCCCGCTGGGGGGCTCGACCCTATTTCTCATAGGAACTTCAAAGCAGAAGGCAGGACTCCTCTCCTGCTCTTCCGTGCCCCTGCCCTCTCGTGTAAAAGTCTTTGGAAGCCGGGTTTCGAACCTCCATTTACATCGCTCGTATGGGAAGGTCTCTGCTCTGCACAGCAGTGCCCCCTATTTGCATCTAGGGTGAGAAATACTAATCCTGTTTCGGGCGATAGCCTGATCCCGCCGCTGCCGCCGCTAACCAGGCTTTTGGGCTCAGCCCTTTGTCACCTTGGCGATGATGACTTCCTTGCGTAGGATCTTCATGGCGTAGTAGCGCCCCGTGGCCTTCTCCCGCACAAGGATGACCTTGCCAAACGTGCCCTTCCCGAGGAGCTTCAGGTAGTCAAAGTCGTTCATGGTCTTTTTAAGCAAAATGAAGAGAACACGGAAAGAGAAAGAGTAAGAGAGCTGAGCACACTCCTTGCCATCAGCTGACTCATTCTGACCTCCACGTGGAGCCTTGGGGCGCAGTGGCTAAACGGCAGTCTTGCAGTCGAGGCTCTGCTCACCACCTACGTTTGATCCCAACAGGCTCAGGTGACCGGCTGAGGGGGACTCAGCCTTCCATCCGTCCGAAGTTGGTCAACTGAGTCAACCTGGCTCACTGGGAAGGGTGGCAATGTGCAGCCTGCATGCTTAACACTGTAAAATGCCCAGAACTGCTTTAAGCACTACGGGGTGGTATTTAAGCAGCACACTTTGCTTTTCAAACGAAAAAGGCCTTGAGGTTCCTCGCTCAGAGAGGAGGACCAGAACTGGCCAAGGCCCGTTCTCCCTCAAGTTTCCCTCTGGCCTCCTCGGTTCTTCTCTGTTCAGCCAGAACGGGAGGGGATCCCTGGCCAGGCACCCACTTACCGCCTTGGCCCGCGTCTTGGTCACAGCCACCTCCATCTCCTCAGCCCCTGTGCTGTCACTGGGAGACCCACATTTGTACTCCATCCGATCCTCTCCATCTGGTTCCTGGTTCTTTAAGCTGTTGGCAACCATCTGAATGGCCTGGATCCATTCCTCCCTGCAGAGAACAGAGGGCAATGACACGTGTGAGGAGGCATTCAGGACACCTTGGCCCGCGTCTTGGTCACGGCCACCTCCATCTCCTCAGCCCCTGTGCTGTCGCTGGGAGACCCGCATTTGTACTCCATCCGATCCTCTCCGTCCGGTTCCTGGTTCTTTAAGCTGTTGGCAACCATCTGAATGGCCTGGATCCATTCCTCCCTGCAGAGAACAGTGACACGCGTGAGGAGGCATTCAGGAGAGAGAGAGAATCGAGTGCCTCTGTAAGCGAGGAGGAGACGTGGACTTCAGGGCCAGGAGATTCCACAAGCTCAGCTGGTCTGGAGGACATCAGGCAGCAGCCGGGAGAAAGGGACCGGCTGGTCAGCCGCTGCCCAAACCTTGACCAGTCCTGCCGTTTCCACATTCAGGGAGGGGAGAGGTTTGGTTCCTCGAGAGTGAGAGGAAACCAGGAAGGGAAACCGGTTGCACGATGGGAAACTCCACAGAGTTACACAGAATGGCAGGGCGGAAGGAAGGAGCTCCTTTTCTGAAGCGACGGGTGTTTCGGCCGGTGCTCATGTCCAAGACACGCTTGCTGGGCTCACCTTTCATCCGGGGAGTCCACGTGGAACGTCCTTTCGATGACTGTCGTCCACTGCAAACAGCGAATGATGAAGGTGTTTGGCCTGGGACGCTCGACCCTCATGAGCTGGCATTCTGGAAGAAGGGAGAAGCAGGGAGCTCTGGGAACTGAATGGGGCACCCCTTCCCTGCAGACTCTTCACGGCACAGACCACCCCCCTCCTCTGCCCTGTCAATGCCCTCCCCATGAGACAAAATAAAAACACCAAGTTACTCCCCCCCATCCCTATTCCTTCCCTAGTGCTGGGTTCAGGTCAAGAGCTCCACGTGTATGTTTCCCCCAAAGAGATTTCTAGCTGCTCCCTCCTACTGCCCTTCCTTATTTTAAGAGATCATCATTTTAAATACTAAAATGTTTCCTTTCTGCCCTGCGTGAAAAGACAATGCACTACAAACCACAATTTAAAGCAATTTTAAACAACTTAAAGCCACACAGGTTGGAACAGGGGTCCACATCTTGTCAAAACCCTGATGCCAAGACTCCAAAAGTTTTTTGTGTAGAGCCATTTTTAACTTGGTTCCAAACTGAGCCAGCAGGAGTAGCAACGCGCCTCCACTGCGATGGCACACATTCATTCGTTCGTTCATTCATGCACTCAAATTCCATCCTCCTTTCATCCCCAAAGGTGCAGTTATGATGGTTCACAAGGTTAGAAAAAGGTGTGGATAAAAACAGGAAAAAGTCATGATGTTAGAGCAGAAATGATCAAGTTAAAATATTGAAATGTAAGTGAGTGAATTAAAAACCAAATTAAAAACACACTGAGGATAAATAAAATCATAGTGGATCTGGAAAAGGCCCCCAAGGTTACAGGGTTCAATTCTGAGTTAAAACATTCTTTCTTGTCATTTGAACTCATGTTCAAATGACAAGAATTGTAAGTTTTTTGATTATATATTTTTCTGTTTTTATCTATGTAAATTGTGTATATTTTAAATTGTTTGCTATTTGTATGTTGTGAGCCGCCCAGAGTAGACCATGTCTAGATGGGCGGCATATAAATGCAATAAATAAATAAATAAATAAATTTAGTTCAGGACTGTCTCTCTGAAGCCACGGAAAACACGTTCCCTTCCCTCTTCCACGGGCCAGCCCGTCAGAGAGGTGAAGATGGCTATCGCACCGCCCCTCCATCTTCTCCTTCCATGCTAAACAGGCCCCGTTCCCTCCACTCTTCTTCCTAGCCCTTTCTGGTTTTCTGCCCCTTTACTGTACAAAAGAAATACCGCACCGAGCCTTTACAGCGTCTTACTCAGAAAGCAACCAACGGCCCGAAGCCCACCTGAAAAAAAAGAGGCCTTCTTTGCCTGTTTGTGCCAACCGCTGAGATTCCCCTGGCACTTTCTAGGTCGCCAGGCGTGACTTACCTGCCACAGAGAAGTCATTCAAAGGGGGCAGGCTCTGGTCCGACGTTTCTGGCTTCTCCTTGTACCCAATGAAAGACCCGTCGCTTTTCAGGAGGAAGTACCTTGGCCTCCAGGTTTTGATGTATTCCCCTAGAAGGCAGGTGAGGAGAAGGGTCTTCCTCAGAACAATGAACGAGCAGCTCCTGAGAGGGCCCCTGACGCAACCCCGGATTAGAGGGACCCTTTTGTGTGGACCCTGCCCTGGGACATGACAGCCTGACTCCACCCCGTGCCAACGGGGACTACGCAGCCCGGGACATGACAGCCTGACTCCACCCCGTGCCGACGGGGAGTACGCAGCCCATCCTCCCTCCCTTCCTTCCTTCCTCCCTTTACTTGAGGGTCCCTTTGCTCTGTTCCCAGGGAAGGGTCAGCATGGACGGAGCGTCCAGCGATCACCCAAATGCAGCCACTTCAGGCTCCTCTGGTGAGCCAGGCCTCTTCCCTGCCTATCGGCTCCTGGGGCCGAGGTGGCCACTCAGAGGGAGGAGGAGAACCGAGGTCCTGTTCCTCAACCCTGCCAAGGTCCTCTTTCCTTTCTGACTTTGGCAAAGCTTTGAACAGCCAGCAGAGGTCTCTGCTCTGCTCCAATGACAGGCCTACTACTAACTACTCTGACTTTGGCAAAGCTTTGAACAGCCAGCGGAGGTCTCTGTTCTGCTCCAATGACAGGCCTTTTTAAAATTATTATTATTATTATACATTTTTGCCCTGGAAAATAAGCAAAGCTTTGAACAGCCAGAGGAGGTCTCTGCTCTGCTTCAATGACAGGCCTCTACTACTACTACTATTACTACTACTATTATTATTATTTCTTTCTTTCTTTCCCTGGAAAATAAGCCATTTCTTGAAAAAGACAAAACAAAAACCCTATGGTCATTTCATAATATTCAATGGTTGATGAACGGATGCCAAATCATTTCAGCCTGAAATTGAAATAAGTAGTGCAAACAATTATTTATGAAACTAGGAGGAACCCACCCCCCAACCTCAGTAGAAGGTAAAAGTTATTTGGAAGTAGGTGACTGGATAAGTGCAGTATAACACGTGCAATTCATGGGGTGTACAAAAAAAAAACACATTTTCAGTGACTTTTCCCCTTAAGTTTAAACAAAAAATGGGAGTGAACTACATGTTGTTTTAAAAAAAATTAACACAAGGGTTTTTATAAACCTAATTTCCACATAAAGCTTTTTGAGTTGTTTGAAAAACAAAACTTAGATTCACATTCAATGCTATTAGTTTATTTTCTTTTTTCCCTAATCAATTTTTTTTAGTTCGTTTCAAATGCTTCAGGCTGTTAAGGCTCTGAAAAGTTTTGCTAAGAACATAAAAATCAAATCAAAGCATTAAATCAGATGACACACGATTCATATCCTTCCATAAAAACTACAGCACTGTTCACCCACAAAAATGTTTTTTTTTCCTGTCAGAAAGGATGGGATCCTGAATGTTGGGAGACCCAACATCCCAGCAGGTGATTTTAAAATACAGGGCTCTCTGGAGTGCCTGGCAGCTAAAGGGCTTGAGTGGGACTGCCTGAGCAATGGGGAGGGTGCTCAGCCCCACAGAACTTTGATTTGTCCTCCCCTGCCGCTTTCTCACATATGGTTCCCCTTCACCATATGAACGCCAGGCATGTTAACGGGCTTTTTAACATCTGCTTCTGGACCTTCTTGCTTCATTTGTGGCTGATGTCTACAGACAGCCCTGTCGTAAAAGACTTGGTTCATGCCACCAAAGCCCAGGAATTCCTCAGGGCTTTGCAGAACTTGTACGGCAGAGGGGGCCCCTCTGCCGTCCGGCCAACCCAGCTCCAAAGACCAAAATAGCTGCTGGGCAGGCAAGCCGGGCCACCGCCAGGTGCCGACTATATTTGTCTGCAGGGGGAGGAATGCGTTGGAGCCACAGCCCAGGGTACTTGGGGGGGGAAGAGGGGGGAAGCGACGTGAGAGGGGAGGCAGCTCAGGGGACAGCTGACACTGCCACAGGGCCGGGTGGGAGTGGGCAAACCGGCGAGTCAGAAGAGAAAGGCTTATGCCAGCACTCCTGACCTCCTTGTGGCTCATTCAGTTGGGGATACCAGGTATCCCAGATCTCACAACGGTGCCCGTGAGCACCCACAAGCAGCAGCAGCGACACCGCTTCGTGAAACAGGCACAAATGACGTTCTGCCCAGAGCCCCTTCCTCCCCACCACCCGCGCAGGGTTGAACCAAGGACGGAAGACACGTCCAACTTCGTTCTGCACTGGACGAAGCTTCCAGAGAACGCAGAGCTCTGCCTCGCCAAGAGCACCGGACAGGAATCCCGCGGCTGGACAAGTGATCCCGCGCTTGCCCCCTTCTGCCCCTGTGCTGTGGGTTGGGGCTCCCTGCTCACCTCTCTTGTGCAGCCAACCCTCCTTGATGACTGAAACCTCGTTCATGATGATGCGGCCCTGTTAGGATGCTGACAGGGCTGAGATTCTGCCAGCTGAACAAGGTCAGGTTGATGGGTGACCTGCAGGAGAGAAGAAAAAGAAGAGGTTGTTTGGGGAGGGTTGGAAGGAGGGGGTCTCCAGGAAGCCAACAGGGACCACCATGTTACAACTCTGGTCCCCAGAAAGGGATTCTCTCTCCATTGCAGCTTCCGGTCTCTCCAACATGACACGACCAGCTCGCTCTCTAAAGGGAGCCGGGGTCTCTTGGCAGAGGCAAGCCGGGCAGCAAACCTGTTTTCCTGCAGAACCCAGATCCCTCACCTACGGGGGCAGAACAGGCCAAATCGTCAGGGGCAAGTGGCTGGTTCGGGGCAACACCGTGTCCAGAGAAGCTGCAGGAATCTCCTGGATCAGGTGCTCCTGGAAGCTAGCCCGAAAGCTAGCCAATGGGCGCCGCTGAGCTGGGAGGCAAAACCCGGAGCCCTACAGGTCTGCTCAGCCACTGCCAATGTAAGGCAGAAAGGGGGCGGCCAAGATGATGCAAGGCCCCTTTGCTCCCGCTGGGGCAAATATTTAAATAGCGGCACGAGGGATCCAATGGACACCTAGCCCGGTTTCTGAATTGCCAAGCTAGGCCAGATAGGAAACCCCCACCCTCACCCCCCCATGATGTTTCCTCCTCCTCCTCCTCCAGCTCTCAATTTCCCTTTCTGCCTTATCTTCCCCCTGAGCCTTGCCCCGATCGGTGATAAGAGGCCCGTGAAGCAAGAAGCCCCTGCACAGGCTCAGATCAAAGAGCCTCTGAAGGAAAAACAAACAGCCAGGGAAAGATTAATCCCAGGCACCTGATGGGATTAAGAGTGAGTGTGAGTGTGTGTGTGTGAAACACCAGCCCAAGACACTGCCAGCTAGAGTGCCAGGGTGGTGGTGGTGGTGGTGGTGTCGGGCACACTGCCACAACTTTGTCCTCCTGAGAAGTTGTGGCACATGTGCAATGACACCACACCATGACCGACATGATGAGCGAGCGGAGTCCGGTCCAGCGGTGAGACGGAGGTATGGTGGTCCCAGAAGGCGGGCTTGCTAAAGCTCAGGCCGTGAGGTGCAGCACCTCCTGATTTCCAACAGAGCCGGGGAAACTTCGTCCGTGACTCTGGCGAGGGCCCTCCTTGGCCTTCCTGCGCCTCTGAGAAAGCTGAGCTGAGAATAAGAGAGAGCAACGGACAAGAGGCTCTGCTTTTCAGCCTTTCCCTCTGGTCGGCAAGAGAAAACCCACCTCGGCCCTGATCCAGGAAGAGATTTTTTTTTTATCAAGAGGTGATGATGGCGCCTGTTTTCGCCACCGAGGGCTGGGACCCACAGTGGCAGGGAGGGCAGTGTCGCAACAGGGCTTCACAGTCATTTACAAAACAGTACAAGTGGGAGGTCTAATCCGGCAACATTCCCCCTCCCTTCTGGAGGCTGAGAGAGAGAGGGAGAGAGATCTGAGCCAAAGGGCAGAGTTCTACATGGCTGGACAAGAAGCATCAGACCAACCTCTGCCTTCAACCCACAAATCTTACCGTGAATCATTCAAGGTAAAATAAAGCGCAGGACTTTGCTCTAAAAAAAAAACCCTTGGGGACTGTTTGGATCGAACGCAATAACATTATGCAAACCTGTCATACCCAAGGACAGTGCAAGTACTGTGACATCCAACTTCCAGTAGAATAATGGGGGAAAATGAATCTCCTTGCAGTTTGTGGAACTGTCTACAACCCCCTAGATGGCAGATCTCCCTGACCAGCAGTGAGGAAACTATGGGTGGACCTAGCATACCATGTTTTCCCGAAAATAAGACAGGGTCTTATATTCATTTTGCTCCCAAAAATGCATTAGGGCTTATTTTCAGGGGGCGTTTTTTTTTTCATGTACAACCATCTACATGTATTCAAATACAGTTGTGTCGTCTTCCTCTGGTTGCTGCACAAGGGTGGCGGTCCGGGTTTCACTTCACTGGGGCTTATTTTTGGGGTAGGGCTTATATGACGAGCATCCTGAAAAATCATACTAGGGCTTATTTTCAGGTTAGGTCTTATTTTGGGAGAAACAGGGTTATTTATTCTTCCAGAATGGCCTTAGATATTTCCACATGGTAGGAAAAACAATATGCTTGGAATATGGGTGTTATTTTCTTCTATACGGCCTCCAAACTATTCAAAGTTGGGGAGGTCCTGCTGCATGGTTCATCCTGGTGGAGGACGAGCAGTGGAAAAGGCTGAACTAAGTGGAGAGAAAAAGCAGCAAGAACCAAAACAGATTCGTATTTTTATATTTCAGGGTCTGATAAAGATATTAGTCAATTTCCTTATTGGATTTTTCTTTAACACAAACCACACAACTTCCTTTCTTTGCTTTAATGGCAGAAGCATTAAAGTCCCAGACACCACAATTACCTGGAATCCAGGATGGCACTCAAGCATATACCAAAAGTGTAAACCTAGGCTTTCGAAGGCCGTTCGCTTCTACGCAACAACACAGGTTGATGCCCAATTTGCTAATCTTCCTTTTGAATTAGCAGCAACCCTCTGGCCTTATTGGGATTATAACCTAATTTGCTTGCCCTTGTCTATTTCACTCCTGACACATGATACCAATTGAGAACCCAAACGGCTTCCTTCGATTTATCTGGGGGAGGCAAAAACTAATTTGGCCTCATTGGCATGCCAGTAATACTGAACTGCAACAATCGGAACAGCCTCTCCCAGAGATTCCATGCCCTTCTTAAATAAGAGGGATGAAACAATGGAGCTTTGAAATCAGAGGCCATTGACACAGCCCATCAGCTTCACTTTCTGGAAGTGCTCCTCCAGGAAAGGTAACTATCTCCTCTCTAGGAAGGCATGGACAAGGGAAATAAAAAAAACGACAGCAAGCCAACATTCTGTGCTTTATCGATTGCTACACAACAAGCATGACTTTAGCTCTCCAGGAAAGAGCATCCCACAACACACACATTCTCTCTCTATGTGTGTGTGTGTGCGCGCACTACCTCTGCCTCTGGGTCAATCTCCTCCAGCCCATGTTAAATCTCAGAGAGGAAACCTCTGGGTGCCACTGGAAGGTGAGAGAGGGCGGCTATCTGTGAGCTCCCATTCCTCTATACACGGTACCCACATGGATAACATTTCAATGAAAGCTCAAAGAGAAGGGGACCAGAGACGGCCCGGGAGGATGAAGGGGCAGAGATGCTGTTGTAGCTCCAGTCCTGAGTTTAAAGGGCAAAAATCTGGGGCCAAGCTCCCGGGCGAGAGCGCAGCAGGGTTCCCTGACAAACCAGAGCTCGAAAACTCCACACCCTGCGCTCTGGGTGGCCGACAGAAACTCCCCACCAAGGGAAGGTTGTGAGAAACCCCAAAGGGGTAGCGGTATGTAAAAGACTCCGTCCTCTGCCCAGGCCTTTGCCTGCATTACGAAAGGTCTGATTTCTGCCCACCTTCTTTTTGGGGAGGAAAAGGCTGTGAAGGCGCCAATCACCCCTCCCAGGAAGGCAGAGTCTCCCACCACTCAGCTTCCGACGCGCGCACCTGTCCTTCCCACCTGTCCTGCTCTGCCACTTCTCCATCCCAAACACCACAAAGCCCCTGCAGTGGACGGAAGACAAGGCAGCCTGACTCCCAATTCCTCTGTCGGTGGCCCTGACTAAGCACGCAAGAGCAGCACGCTCGCTCGCTCGTCCCACGTGTGTGTGTGTGTGGAGGGGGAGGAGGAGGAGGAAGGCGCGGGGTGGGGGGGTTGGCTTGTTGACTTGCAGAGCATGTGTGACTCAGATGCTGCAAGCGCCAGAGTTGTTTACGCACTCCAGGATGTGACCCTGTGGAACTGGAGGGGAGGGGAGGCCTTGTGGCTGGGAGGGAAGAAAAAAAAAAAACAGAGAAGATGGTTTCTACCTAAGGCAAGGGAAAGAGGATGCAACACAGAGACACGGGAGGGATTTCCGCCCCTCCCCAAAAAAAAGCACTGAAAGGGACCCCTAGAGTTTTGCTCTGCTCCAATCTCTCACTCCACCAAACCTCAGCCTCGTCCTACTCAAAGAGTGTCACACAAGCCAAGAGGCAGCCGGGCTCTCCCCTCCCTCCTGACCGTTCAGAAGCAAACTAAAAGTGAATCTGGTCATGAGCTTTCCCTACGTGTGTGCCAAGGAGCCCCCCCCCCAGGCCCCCGGGCCATAAATCACACCCAGGAACCCGGTGCTCCGTCCAAGACAGAACAGAGCCAAATCCCCGCCATAGGTTCCTGGTAGACTGGAGAGCTGCGACCCCTTTCTCCCCACATGCATCCTCCCCAGGCACAGCTGGGAATGACACAGAGACACAAGCCTTCCCTGACCCCCAAGGAAAGGACAGGTTGCTCCCACTGGCAGTAATGGGGGGAGGCGAGGGGGGGAGGGCCAGCTGTAAGGCCCAATTTCAGCCACGGCTCAAACCCCCCAGTGGCTGATGCAGCAAACCTCAGAGCTCTCAGACCTCCTTCCTGGAAGGTCCCATAGAATTCTGTCCCCGATGCCTCCTAGGCTGTGCAAAGCGAACACCGCCTTGGGGGGACGGGTACTTCACTCCATTCCTTTTGGGAAATGTGGGTAGGCGGTGGCGGCAGCAGCCAAGACGAGAAGCGCACTACCTGTCTCGAGACAGCTGAAGGACGTGGAGGGGGTGCGTGTGCCACAGGCTCTCCCAAATGCAGCCTGGGCTCCAGACGACCCCGCTGGCCTCACCCTCTTGACTCGACGACTAGCACAAAGGAATGGGTGTGGGGCACCCCACTAGCTGCTCAGCCCTTGCCAGGCTCCGTAGATCATCCAGGCCTTTTTTTACACCGTGCTGGACAAGATCTCGAGGACCCATCCGAAGATGCAGCCACCTCAGGAGAGCCAGCGCCACTTCTCCCACAAACCACAAAACCAAAGTCGCAATTCTTCTGAACCTATACCGGGCTCCCTTCCTTCCTTCCTTCCGCTGACCCCTCTAAGACATGATTAAATGTCGCTGCCAGACGGAGAGGGAGGGGAAAAGGATTAAGGAAGGGGCGGCAAGTTTTCTCACTTGAACACAAGCATCAAGCTGTAAGCCGTTCAGAAGAACAGATGACCGGCAAGGGCACTCCTCTCCCTTCCCCCCCCACGCTTTCGCTTGTTGGAAAGGACGGGCTTTCCACTCTTTTCAGGCTTCTGTGTGTTTGGTGCACTTAAATCTGCTCAGGATAAAAACCAATCATTTATTTCCCAGATCTGGCCCTGCCTTTTACCGGAAAGATGCACGAGGCGCACAGAGGAGCTGCAGACTTTGGAGTCTCCAGAAGAGGCGGGAAAGGATCAGTCCGTTACCTAAAGTCCCTTATCAAGGGGAGAGTGCCTTCCCTCAGTGGATCAGAAAGCCTCCCTAGGATGGGCTGAAGTCCCACAAGCAGAGGAACTGGGGATAACCCTACCCCACTCAGGCTCCCTTCGCGAGGCTTTAGAACGGAAGATGCACAGACAGCGGACGGGATATCTGTGAAAGCGTGCCAGATTGCTGGGCTCCGAGAACTGAATGTTGAAGACTGCTCTTTTACAATGGGCCGTGAGAGAAAGAAAGGAGGACCCTGTCTTTTCTCCCCACCCTGGGACCATTTCTTTCCCCAGGAAGATGCTTGAGGACAACACTCTTCCCTAAAAGAGGTAGAGAAATCTCTCTCAAGAGCGGCATTTCCAGTCTAGCTGTTGCTGACATCCCGTAGAAATTCCAAGGGCAGCTGTAAAGAAGGAAGTGAGCGCACCGCCTCAGAGCAGCAGGACACCCGCTTGCCAACCAGAATATTTCCTTCATGTCCACCAGCAATTCCAGGTTATTTTTAGTGTCCAGAGTAGACCACTATTTTAAAAAAGAGAGAAAGGTCTGGACTCCTTCACACAAGCCCCACAACCGAGATCCATCCAAATGAAGAGCCCAGGAGGACAAAGAGAGAGCGCAGGCGGTTTTGTGCACACGTCCCAGAAGAGAGCTATAAACGCACACCGGCAGCAGCCTCAGCGCATCTTTCGCTCAGCTCCGTGGCCAAGGGGACAAAACCTAGAGAGAAATAAGGAGCCCAAGGACTATCTGGGGAGCCGGCCATTGCAAACAAATGAACAGAAGCACAGACTTTTCCAGAGAGAGCAGAAACCCCACCACAGCAGTGATTTAGTCACTCATCATCTTCTGCAGGCTAGAGACGCAGACCTGTGATTTTGACAGAGGTAAACAGGCAAACACATAAGTGCCCTGCCCTTCTCCCGTGTAAAGCAAGGGGCAGGCTGGCAAGCCCATAAGAAGGCTGCCTCTCACACACGCACGGCTCAGGTTCACAGCCTTCTAGGAACAGTAAGGCAGGCTCTGAATGTTCCCTTTGATCAGTGGGGCAATCCGCCTGCTAGGATGGCAGGTGTCCATATGCCAGGCCAGGCAAAGCTAACTCTCTTACTGTTATGCCTTCCTGTCACTCAGGGGCACTATTGTACCCCTTGAAGCAACAGGTCACCGTGATTCAGGACTGCTGTACACAAAAACCCGCAAGGGCCTTAGAAATACATGCAAGGGCAGCAAACATGGGAAAACAGGCAGCCTTAAATACAAATCAGGCACTGGGGAAGAAATGCATACAATCTGTAGCCATGTACATTGGGCTCTGGGTCACAGCTGAAGGTCAACAAACATGGAAAACACACAAGAGGGTGACAGGTAGAAGAGAAGGCACCCTGAGGGGAGGGGGGGAGACACCTGTGTTGCCTCTTGCCCCCCCCAATGCCACACTGGGCAGTATCCAGCAACCGTTGGGCAACATTCCTGCCCAGAAGCTCTCAAAAGCCAGGGCCTTTCCAAAGGAAAACTTCCACTTCATAATCTGTTGGCAAACGGCCACCCTAGGAAACAGCCGGCCGAGACGAGCACATCTTCTGGCAGGATCAACTTCACAGCTTTGACAGATACAGATGAAGATGATGGAAGAAGCAGGAAGCAGAACTACCTGCTACACACACATTTCCCTCTTCCTCACACCAAACATCAGTGTACATTGTGAAGCAACGGGTCGTAGAAATATGACAGAAATAGGGACAGCCGAAGGAGAGAGAACCTTTCAGATAGCAGCAAGCGGGGGCCGGAATGAAAAGTGAGGGCGGCCGCCGTCTTTCCTTTCGACCCGTCCGTCCTTCTCTTCCTCTGCACCCAGAAGCCTGCCAGGGTAAGGGTGACAACACAACTCATCGCAGGCATGAGGTGGCTTTTGAAACCGGCCAGAGGCCATGGCCTCACCTATTGTGTTGTTTCCCACAACAACTTGACACAAGCACGGTGTGAGGCACCGACCCTCTTGACCCACTCACAGGAACACAAGAAGAACCGCTACGCTGGATCGGACCCAGAACCGCTCTAGTCCAATCTTCTCACCCTCGCTGATGCCGGCGTCCGCACCGAGGGAGGAAAACGGGAGCGCCAGAGGTAGATCCTTGCTCAGCCCCCGGCCACGGTCCCCTCAGCCTTTGCAGGGGTGTTCTGAGGATGCCAGCACCCTCCAAGATGCACAGAACCCAAAGAAGGCAAGGGGCCGGCCGGCCAGAAGCGAGCGTCTTCAAGGGGTGAGGCGCCACCCGGGTCTCCACGACCTTCTGCAGACCTTCCCAAGCCCATCCCACGGGGACCAAGCCTTTACACCTGTGGTTCCCAACCTTGGATCCCCCCAGGGTCGCTTGGACTGCAACTCCCAGAAGCCTTTGCCACCAGCTACGCTGCCTGGGGCTTCTGGGAGTTGTAGTCTAAGGATCCCGGGGGGGGAAGAGAAGGCAAGGTGGGAAAGACCAGGGATTCTTCTTCATCTTTGTGTGTGGGGGGGGCTCCTGATCCACTTTATAAACCGGACAAAACCAACAACTCCTCCTCCCGTGGAAACTCCCACGAACCGCTACCAACAGGGGGGCCATGTTTTGTTTTGTTTTTCTTGCAAATGCAACTCCTGTGGTTCTTCCTCCTTCCCCCCCCCCAGCAAAAGCACCCGCCTTGCTGGGCCCCTGGCAGGCAGCCTGGCTGCGGCCCCTTCCTCTTCCCTCGGCCAAAGCGAGCCCCTTCCCCCGCCCGGTGGGACAAGGGCTCGGCCAGGGCCCAGGAATGCAAGGCAGACCCCCTCCCCTCCCCTCCCCCAAAAAGGGGGCCCCAACCCCCGGAGAGGAAGCAACAGGGGAAGA